CAAGAACCACATGCATAGTGGCCTGCACACGCTTGTTCTAGAATGAGAGCCTACTGGGAGTTCCAAGTAGTAAATAAGCCTGTTATGGGACACACAGCGAGGATAAGCAGGAAGCAGGTTTATTGGTTGCAGCCAGGTTCAGAAGGGGAGCTTTTGCCACTGTCTATCAGTACTTCTGGACCCGGAGTTTAGAAAGTTACAGAACATTTATCCAGTGTGTAGGGGAAGGGCTCAGAGGTCACAATCTGCAGAAGTCCACACAAAAGTAGCATTTTCCAGAACATTGGAACCCAAATCTAGGACACTCTGCAAGAATCAGCACCCAGGACAGGGAGAGTTCTCCTCCCCTTCCCTCTGCCAGTTAGCTATGCAGGACCTGACTATTGTCTGTTGAAATCCAAATGCCTATGTGGAGGCTTTGTGTTAGTCTTTCTTACCAAATCCTGCTTCTGCAACACGTCTCCTGCCTGAAAACAGTTGCAGAAATTCTTCGTTTTTTAATTTATATATGACAGCAGAATGCATTACAATTCTTATTACACATATAAAACACATTTTTTCATGTTGCAGAAATTCTTGCTGATAATCTAAGAACAGTTATGGTGAGGGTTTCTTGGTTTCTTAATTAAGATCTTCTGTGGAGAAGGAGTGCCAATATAAGCCCACTGGCCAAGTACGGAAAGGAATCAGGCCACTTATGCCTGGTTACAAATATATTCCTGTTGTTATTGAAAAAGACAAGGGCAGGCCTTGAAAGCCAGGAGCTGGCGTGACATTGTGTTCTTGGTCATAGTGTTACTAGGAATTGGCCTGAACTGAAGCTACTCCTTTGTGGTTTCTTGTTGAATATGATTTAGCAGAACACCAATAACATTTTAATCAGGACAAAAACAAAACAAAACCAGAAAACAACCTCCTTGATTATGTCTGAGGATGACAAAAACCAAAATAGTCCCCCAAACATCTCCCTTTTTTGGCTAAATATGCCACCCCTTTACCAATTACAACTCTGGCCTTGTTTTCTTCTATCTCTGAGATAAAATTAAGATAATCATGGAATCATGTTTTCTGACAGCATTCAATTCAGAGCAAAACCCCTGCTCCAAATTCATCTTAAATCCATATTTTCTCATTTCTTCCTAACAATTACTAACAAGCCTGTAGTTCTAGTATCTCCTTGTTGCAGAGACAACTCTGACTACAACTCTATTAATAGTGAATTTTGCCTGAAGGGCAATGACATTACTACTTGCTCAATATTAGTCATTATTGGTTTATGTCCTTATTAATCTTGATACATTACTAACAGTAACTGTTTTGTTATAATAGTTAATATAAGAATTGTCTATCAAGCTCTTAAAGAGCTTTATTTAAAGATTACGTGCAAGTAAGAAGCATTATTTTGACAGTACTTTTAAAGTATAGCATTTTAAACACTATTTTACTTATCTGTGGAGTAAGTATGGATGGCAAGTTGTCAAGAGAAAAGATAGAGATTGATATTATACAGGAATTATAAAGTGATCATTTAAATGGGAAGCTTTTAAAATGCATATATTCCAAAGAGGGCTGAGGAACACTTCCCCAGGAAACAGGAACTTCATATAATTATCTTAGGACAAGAGACTATATGTAAATAATAGCTTAATAAACTTTTACTCTGCCTTTTTAAATTGGTAATGTGGGAGAAAGTTGTCCATGTATTGAAATCACTAGTCAAGAGATTCAGGGCAGGTTGTACTAATTAATCCCCAGGAAATTACACTTAGGCTAAAACCAAGAAGGCTAGTGATTAGTTACTCGGATATTTCATACCTAACACTTTCCAATTCAAGATATAAAAAGCTTAAGCAGACTTTATTAAAATTACATGTGGAAGTTCTCTGCTGAACTCATCTGGGCATGAGTCCTGAAGAGCTACTCAAATATGCCTTTTCCCTTTGAATGAATCCATGTCCCCAAGCAAAAATTAACTCTATCAAGATAGAGAGAAGATTATTTTCTTAAGTAAACAAAGACCTTAAAAAGACAATGTGAAACACAGGAAATTATTACAAGAACTTGTTACTTGTAGCAGCAGGATTTTTGTAGAATCTTTAGGATTTTCACTCACTGGTTTCGTTTTTTTTTTTTTAAACCAGAGATTAAACCCAGGGGCACTTAACCACTGAGCCACAACCCCACACCTTTTTGAAATTTTATTTAAAGACAGGATCTCACTGAGTTGCTTAGAGCCTTGCTAAGTCCCTGAGGCTGGCTTTGAACTTGTGATCCTCCTGCCTCAGGCTCGCTCCTGAGCCTCTGGGATTACAGGCATGCACCACAGCACCTGGCACTTTAGGATTTTCTATACATAATATCAGCTTATCTGCGGAGACAATTTTACTTCTTTTTTTCCAGCTTTAATTTTTTTCTTTCCTTCTTCCATTTCTTAATGTTTCAGTTTTGGTATATTTTGTCTTTCTAGGCATTTGTTTATTTAATTTTGGTTATCTAAAAAATTATATCAATATCCTGATGAATGCAGACACAAAATTCATTAATAAAATATTAGCAAATAGCATTCAGAAACTCATTAAGAAGACTGAACACTATGATCAAATGGATTTCATACCAAGGAAGCAAAGTTGGTTCAACACACAAGGATGTCCAATCTCACTACTCATATTCAAAATAATTCTTAAAACTCTAGTAGAGCAATCAGGCAAGAGGAAATTAAAAGGATGCAAATCAGGAAAGAAGTCAAATTATCTGTTTGCTGATGACATGATCCTATATCTATAAGAACCAAAAACTTGAGTAAAAGACTTTTAGAGCTGATAAGCAAATTCAGCAAAGTGGTAGGACAAAAAAAAAGGTGGGGGGGAGTAGAGAAAGGAGATAGAATGGGAAGGAAGATGGATGGGAAAAGAGAGAAACGGTGAAATGAAATTGACCAAATTATGCTATGTACATAAATGAATATACCACAGTGAATTTTACCTTTATGTATATTTATAAAGCACCAATTAAGAAAAAAAATAAACAGAAGGAAGACCAGCAGAGGGAGTGGCGCAGAGCGAGGGTAGAGGGGAGGAAAAGTGGAAGTACTGTGGATTGAAATGGAACAAATTATATTCCATGGTTGTATGATTATGTCAAAATGAACCCCACTATGTGTAACTATAATGCACTAATAAATTTTTTTTAAATGAGTGTTAAATTCCCACATATTTGTGACTTTTTCAGTTTTCCTTTTTTTTTTGATTTCTAGTTTTATTATATTTTGGGTCCATAAGGCACTCCAGGATTTCAGTATTTTTTAATTTACTCAGGCTTGCTTTATAGCCTACGATTTGGTATATACTAGAGAATGTTCCATGTGCACTTGATAAGGATGTATATTCTGATGCTTTTTATTGGAGTGTTCTTTATATGTTATGATGTCCAATGAATTTGTTGTGCTATTCATATTTCCATATTTTGTCTGGCTGTTCAATCCATTATTGAAAACGGTACATTGAAGTCTCCTAGTATTACTATGTTTTTTTATTTCTTCAATTTTTAAAAAATGTTGCTTCATTTATTTTGTGACTCTGACTCTTGCTATCTACATATTTATAACAACAATTATTTATTGTTGCATTAACCCTTCTATTAATGTACAATATCCTTTTAGTCTCTTGAAACACTTTTTAAATTGTATTTTGCTGGTATTAGTTATCCATCCATCTCTATGTGGTTATTGTTTGTGTGGAATCCTCGAACTTTCGACTTTTTGCATCTTTTGATCTAATATATCTCTTCTAGGCAGTATATTCTTACATCATACTTTTAAAATCAATTCTGCCGTCTCTGTATGATTGAAAAGTTTGATACACATACATTAAAAGTAATAACAATAAAGAAGACTTATTTATTTTGTTATTGTTTTCTGTGTCATATGGCTTTTTGATACCACAAACAGGAGACTGTGATGAGTGTTGCTTTAGAAATTAGTCAAACTTTTCTGTTGATTTGCATTTCAGGTGGATATAGCTTAAGTAGACAAAGAGAAACTACACATTTGAGACTGTTCATTTTCCCAGATACTTCACAAAAACAAAACACTCTAATTCTTCCTTATCTAAAAAGAACAAAATAATGAGTAATCTTATGGATATCACTCTATAATTGATCTTATCCAATGAAGAGTTTGGAAACTTTGAACAAGCTACTCAAAAATATTGCAGCTTCATGGACACTTTCAATTCTACAAGAAGCATCTTAATTGCTCATCTGCCCATAAATCCCAGACAGATGATAATATTTCTTATATTGCTTATTTCATATGCCTAGAAAAATGTCTCTGTCTCTCTCTCTACTTGTTTTCTCCTTATTCTTTCTTAGAGCTGAGGAAAGTGTAGGGAGAAACACACACTTTTTAAAGGATATTTTTCTTTCTGTTCCATTACTCCAAATGTTCTTGGTGAAATTATTCTTTTTATAATTGGAGCATAAGGACTTTATGTTGGGTTGTGGAAATAGTAACACAACTCATCCCTCAAACACTGATGTTGATTTAAATTTGATATATTAAGGAATAAAATTTGTGTGCATATATTTATCTGTATATGTACACCTCCCTTCTGTTTGTGACAATGTTGATTTGCTCCATGACTTATGCTTTTCTTATCCATAATCAGCTGCTGAACATATGATACTTTTCATGTTTCATTGAAACATTCAGAATATTCAGGAATAGGTCCTTATACTTACCTTGATAAATATTACTCTTGGCTATTCCTAGGAAATAAAAGAGGAATTTCACCAAATGACTTTAGATTTGCACATGTTATACATATAGGCCTCTAATCTAAATCTGCAAATAAGGGGACACATTTTCTCCCTTAGGGAAATCTTTATTATATAAATATATTTGTGTCAATATATATATATATATACACACACACAAGAATGTCCCTCTATGTATACAGGTGTAGTCGAAGAAAGACATGCAAGACATTGGTTGCAACTGAGTCTCATGGAACCTGTTGTTCATCATCATCTGCTGTTAATCCACTAACGGGGTTAGCAAAGGCCAGGAAGACTTGTTCCAGGGTTATCTGACTGATGGAATAGTCCTCTAAATTGAATCACTCTTTAGCTTTCTCCAAAACACCAAATACCTTCAATGACAACAATAAAAATGTGTAGTTACCATTACAATCTCCCCTCCAGCCCCCAACCCAAAGGAGCCTCCCCATCTCTTCCCCAGCTCTTGTCAAATTTATGTTAAGGCCAAAGCCATAGAAAGGGGAGAGGGGTAAGTAGAAGAAATAAATAATTGAGGAACTGAGAGGAAGAAGTTATCTGTTCCCATTCTTTGTTTTTTTTTTTTAATTTTTTATTGTGGGTTGTTCAAAACATTACAAATTTCTTGACATATCATATTCCACACTTTGATTCAAGTGGGTTGTTCCCATTCTTTGGATGAACCTGAACTACTAATAGGATTCAGGCACAACAAATTAAAGCAACTAAACTATAGGAATGTTTGAAAAACAGCCTAAAGGCTCCAATTCCCATTCCACATGACTGAATCCAAATACTTTTAATTATTAATGCTCTCTTAACACGTAGTGTTAGGAGGGCATGGTTTCTATCATCACCTTTCCCCAGCTATTGTCTTTTTTCGGAAGGTGGTAGTTAAGGATCCTTTGATTCTCCTCCTTCAAGATACTATCTAAGAAAGGAAAATAGTACAGGTAAATGATCTCACAGAATTTTTAAAAATATTTATGTTTTAGTTATAAGTGGACACAATATCTTTATTTTACATTTATGTGGTGCTGAGGATTGAACCCAATGCCCCACACATGGTAGGCGAGCGCTGTACCTCTGAGACAGCCCCAGTCCCCGATCTCACAGATTTTGTTTAAAAATTCTAGAATATTTCCACATATATTTAATTATAAAAAGTGGACAAGTAAAGAGATGGGATTTATATAAATGGGATATGACCCATTTTCAGTATTATGTTGAATAGAAATGGCAAGATTGGGCATCCTTGTTTTGTCTTTAATTCCTAAAAGGGGAAAAGCTTGCAATTTTTCACTGTAGAGTATGATGTTAGCTGTGGTCTTATCATAGATGGCATTTTATATGTTGAGGAAAGTTCCTTTTATATCTAAATTACTGAGATATTTTCTTTGAGATGTTTAAAATAATAAAATTGCTTTGAAATTTTCCAACAATTTTTCTACCTCTATAGTGGCTGGCTTGTAGGCTCAAGGTACAGTGGTGGTCTTGGAGACACAATTATGGGGATCCAGCCTGACACTGGATTCTACTGTGATAGGTTTAAAACCTGGGTCTACTGAAGTAGTCTTGATCCCTGGATCCTTTTGATCCTGGGGGGGGGGGGGTCACAGGGACTGATCAGGATCCTGGTGCTGGAAGAGCCTGGGTTCCTGCAAGGTGGCCTGAACTCTAGAATTATAGGTGCTGGCCTAGTGCCTGAAGCTGGGGCTGGTTTAAAGGCTGGGTGTGCATATGCAGACCTAGAGGTTAGTATAGAAGGAATAGCCTAGCTCCTAGGACCTTGGGATCTCACCTTGGGATATAACCTGGGACCTGGGTATACAGAGGTATTTAAGAGCTTAGGTCTGGGATGTCAGTATGTGGGTACTAGCCTTGATCCTGTATCTGTAGGGGCCAGCATGGAGATTAGGTCTGTAAGTGCTGGTCTGATGGCCCTCAGAGTACCAGACTCCAAGTCAGTACCTTCAGACCGAGCTTCTAGGCTGGCCCTAGTGCTAGGCTGACCTCAGCAACTCCAAGCTGCCCACCACTCTCAATGCCAAACCAGTCAGACTCTGGACTATCCCCCACACTGTGCTGGCTCCCAGACTGCTGGCCTGCTTTTCCATACCAAGCCAATGCCCATAGTCTTACACATCAGGACATTAATATTCTTTTATTCCTATATAGTACTTCTCACATATTTTGTTTTTGATTACTTTATATACATTTCTAAAATATTTTCAATTTTATGATATTCTCTCACCTAGAACTCCTTCATTTAAGCTTAGGTCTAAAGTTAAAGACATCCAAGACTCACCAATACATCTTTTTAAAAAAATATTTTTAGTTGTTGATGGACTTTTATTTTATTTATTGATATGTGGTGCTGGGAATCAAACCCTGTGCCTCCTCACACATGCCAGGCAAGTGCTCTTCCATTGAGCTACAACTCCAGCCCTCCACCAATACAGATTATGCAGAAGCTTTTCCAGTGATTTCAAAGGTGATAAAGAAATTTTTTGTTTGTTTATTCTCCAGAAAGGGCTTTTTGTGAGTAGAATTCCTTGAGTTTTTATGTGTTCATAACTCTTTGTGACTTTCATTCTTGAAGGTCATTTTGGCTGCATATAAAAACCTTGTCTTACATTTTGCTTATAATTTCTCCTAAGAAAACATTTTAGCTATGAATCTGAGGTCTATCTAATTTTCTTTACCTTTTCTTTCTTTCCCTGCTCTTTTTATTTGTATCCAAAGGTCCCCCTTCTCCTGTTATTATTAAAATACAATTATTTATCTTGGTATTGATATTAGGTAAATTTTTCTGTTGTCCAGTTACCCTTCTAGTATTAGGTTTGTCTTCTTTATTTCAGAAAATTTTTTAAATGATAGTTTTTAATATTTCTTCTATCACTTTACTTTCTTCTTTGTGGACTACTTTGTACTTGGATTGGATTGTCATAGCCTTGCTTCTTACATATTTGTTCCCAAATGCTTATCTATATGTCTGTCTGATGTTTTCCTACTTTCCAGTCTCCATTTCCTTGTACCTTCTATGCTATTTGTTCTTTATATTTATGTATTTATGAAATGTTTACTTTTAAAAAACCTCTCCAATGTTGTTGCTGTTTTTGAATATTCTGTTGTCTAGTCATCTAATTTCTTAGCCCTTTCAATTATGATTCAGGATTTTCTTTCATGGCATCTATCTTATTTGTAGTTCGTTAGATTCATACTGAAAGATAATAGATTTATTTCTTTTGTGGTATTATACATCTTCTGTGTTTTCATTAGGTTTTGCTCTTATCCTTTTCTGCTAGTCAAAGTTTTCTGTGGGGTTCAATTATAATCCTTATGTTTGGTCACGTTTAAGTGAGATGAATATTCTTATAGTTTTGGAAGGAGATTCCTATGTAATAGGTGGATCAGACAAAATAACATTCTTATCTTCATAGCTATAAGATTCCTTTCTCAGAGTCTTTTGGGATGTGTTTCTTACTGCTCACTCTCATGTTTCAGTTCACCATTAACTTATTTTTTTTTCTTTCTTGCTTTTCCTATTTTCTTTTTTGGCTGTTAAAGAATTTTCTTATCTTTGTTTCTCAGCCAATTATTGCATTAAAGATATCTTGTTTAATTTTATCAATTTCTTATTTAAGTTTACCAGAAGTGTTTCTTGGAGATATAATCTTTCTCACTGAAGAAATGGAATCATCTTACTTGTGCATGAAAAAATAATATACAATCATTAAATTTCCTTGAGATTGTGTGGACTCATTTTAAAAATTCTGATTCCTCTGGCAAGACCTTTTTAGAAGAGTACATTCTGGCTGCCTTTTGCTTATAACATTTATTCCTTATTTATTTACTTTTAATTTAAAGATCTTAACTGGCTACATTTTGGGGGCAGTGCTTCATTCCATAAAAATAGAATAAGTGGGTCCTCTTTCTTCATTTTAGATATTAATATTTATGTATAGATTTAGTATTAGTTAATTTTTAAAATTATTTCATATTTCAATAGCTATTTGCTCAAGGACTAATTACAGATGAACTAGATGACCACCACTTTACACTTAAAAATATGTCTCAAACCATATTCTTGTAAAAGTGCTTGTGTCTACAAGTTGCTAGGACAGTTTATGGTAAATGAGGTTTTCTGGTCATAATTTTCTTTGTGGAGATTTAGATACCACATCAAATAGAACTCTAGTACTAATGAGTATTCAAAAATATTTGTTGCATGAATGAATAATTGAATATTTAATTCTTGATGTACATACCTATCTGCATAGATTTTCATAGGCACATCATAATAACTATGACCAATGCTGAGATGATTATTTTTCCACATGTTCTCCACTCTGTTCTACAATCTATTTTATCTATTTTCTGATCTACATTCTTACAGATGTCAATAACTTGCACAAAACTGATGTTGAAGACATAAATCATATGCATGGTGAGAACAACAAATATGATTTAACACATCCCTAACAAAGTTAAAGCAACTGCATTTACCTGGAAATGTCATTTTGATGAAATATTTAAAATCCTCTAATTTATCCTCAGTCTTGACCTTGACTTTCAGGATATGAATATCACCAAACTTGTTCTTGAGGTGCTGAGGGCTGCCCAAGCACATAAGTTTCCCCTTCACCATGATGGCTATCTTTGTACAAAGGGCATCACATTCCTCCATGCTTGCAAAATAAGAGAGCAGAATAAAGTAAGGCTAAACAGTTTTCCTTTGGAGGACATAGGGTTGAAACAGCCAAGATTTTGTGATTCTATTTGCAATCAGAATTTGAACCTACCAATCATCAAGCTCATAACTGGAAAGTGTATTTTTAAAAAGTGATAAATAATAGTATTACCCAATTCTCAAATGTAACATCTTCTGAAATTTCCTGTCTACTCTGGAGTTTTAAACATACTAAAAATTCTTAGCCATTCCACTCATTAGAATTAAAATGAATCCTAATTCCTAAAGAGAAGCTCATATACATATGCAAGTTTACCATCCCATATTCCTGACCCCAAATAATTTCTTCTAGAGCCACTACAATTCCTGCCAGCCTTAAACAAGCCCCTCAATGAGCCACACAGACTTATGGGAGGTTATAATGATAGCTTTTCCACTTTCACGTGTCTTTGTCACTGTGTTCCAGAGCAGGCGTCGGGCTACTGGGTCCATACCAGTAGATGGCTCATCCAGAAAGATGACTGAGGACTTTCCCATTATGGCAATAGCAGTGCTCAACCTACGTTTGTTTCCTCCACTTCATGGTCAAAGGAGCAGGGATAGAAAGTAGAAGAAGAGACTATATATATCAGTTATTTAGGAAAATACTTAGCACAAATATCCCAAATGCTGAGAGATTCAACAAATATTTAACATGAACATCCACTGTGATGATTAACAATGCAGCAAGTCCAACTACAGATTGTGTGTGTGTGTGTGTCTGTGTGTGTGTGTGTGTGTGTTCATTTTATTTTGACATGTAGAGGAGTGACTTTTATGTATCTGATTCGGGCAGCATTATCAACAACATTTATTTACTCATTCTTAGGTTATCATGGTTTCCCAGGTACATAAACCCACCATTAATCATAAGGCCTATATTCCTCTTTTGTTTAGAAGACAAAGAACCATAGGAACACTAGGAATAAGATGCTCCCTCTTGAGTTTCAGAGCTGCAATTCAAATAGAACTAGGATTTTGAGTTTCATATCTGCAAAGGGAAAATGTGGAACTTGATGCATCTGCCTTTTTACTTGAAACTGAAATCTAGTAGGGCATTAGACAGTTTCACAATTAGTAGCTGTGATACAGGGACATAGGTGGAGCTGTGGTTATTCATTTCAAATATCAGGAACACAGAGGAGAAACACTTCAAGATTAGCAGCATCATTAACAACAACAATAAAGCAGCACAATGATTTGCCTGTAGGTCCTGATAATATTGTCAGCATGTGGCTCCAATTCCAATGAGCTCAAATGTTTGTTCACATACAGATGAATCTGGTGCTCAGAAACTCCCCATATTCTGGCATACATGATCATTATTTCCTGGCCAGTCATGTATTCCAGCAAAGCGTCAAATTGAGGACAATAGCCAATTCTTGACTTCACCTAATTATAAGAATTACTTTAAGTAAAAACCTACATCATCCATCCTACTGAACATCCATGGATGAGACAGACCTGCAGTCCTCCAGGTCATGCTTCTAAGAGTCCTACCAAGAATTTTTCTTTTCTGAAGGGCTACCAAAGTATGGCTCTTGGGCCAATTATAGAACACTATAATAATAGTTTCCTGTAAACAGTATTAATGATCTTGAAGATGAAGAAGTTAAAAATAAAATTTCAGTGCCTACTCAATATTGAAAACTGAGATGCTCCCCTCCTCAATCAGGAGTTCCAAATGGCATGGCTACCATGGATGACTTTACACTGCTCGATCTGCACAGCCATGTGCACATCTTGTTCCACATCAGGCTGAACTCAAAGCAATGCTCCACAAATAGGAGACTAAAATGAGTGTTGCTTCAGAAATTGGTCAAACCCTTTTGCTGATTTGCACTCAGGTATACACCGCTAAAGTAGCCAGAGAAAAGTTGTGAATTTAAACAAATATTTAATTTACATCGACTAGATTATTCATGCCCCTAATCCTGGCATAGTGCAAGCTTCCCCAATCTCTAGTGGGATAAAATAAATTCCAGTGGACTTAAAGGAATCCCTGCACTCTCATCTTCATTTTTCTCTTTTCCTCCTTTAAAAAAATTAAATAAATAAATAAAATTAGAAGGTGATACCTCTGTTCAGGGAAATGTATAGACAGGCTCAGAAAAGACCATATTGCCCTAAATTTGTATTTGGGGCTGAATCCAAGCACAGAATGAGCCTTGGACAATAAAACCTGAACAATAAAAAACAATGACAACTAAAAAACTGACAGACAACCAGCAATAGTAGGAGAATGGGGAGAATATTATCCCTAGAGTTACCACATTATCAGATTCAAAAGTCCAATTTTCAATAAAAACTCACTAGCATACAAAGAAACAGAAAATATGACCCACCCAAAGGAAAAAAGAAACAATAAACTGAAACTCTCCCTGTAAAAAGACCTGATGGGGGGCTTGGGATGTAGAGGAGTGACTTATTTGGACCCAATGGATCTTTTTAGATAAATGTTACAGATATGAATCTCTTGATTAGACCAAGTAGCCTCTGAAAAAACAGATACCAAGATGTTAGAAAAGAAATTTGGATTGTTCTCGACACCCTCATTGATGAAATGCTCTATATTCAATAATTTAGTACACTATTCAGGCTTTCCTCAGATTTCCTAGCATTTGAAATTTGACCACTTTCTTCTTCTTGAAATTCTCACCACACTTAGCTTCTTCCCAAAGTGATGAGCCCTCTTCTAGATGGCATGTTTAGCCAATGACTAGCTGATAGAGGAATACAAAGGGTAGTATTTGTATTTAGATAGTATCTAAAAGATAGAACCTGCTTTGATTTGCCATCACACTGAAAAAGTGACATAGTGCTTCAGAGCCCTTAGTAATATTGATCAAGGGCTTAGCTGCAACTGAATTGCAGAAAATCTTCTTCTGCCCAGTCTCTCTACCCTTACCATACCTTGTTTGGCATATGTTAGATGCACTGTTGAGAGAATTTTGCCTTTTATTCCAACAATTTCAAAGACATAAAAGACTCTCTTGTTGTAAGTTATGCTCTAATTGCTTCATTCTTTCCTCAAAATTTTCTCTTTTCAGAATTCAATACAATATCCACCAGGATCGTCATCCATTATCCCTAGCCATCTGCCTGCACCCATAAGTCATCTTATACTGTAATATAATCTTACCTTTAGGATATTTTTGGTGATGCTAAAGCCATCAATAAACACATCCCCAGAGGTAGGACTCTGCTCTCCAGTCAAAATTTGGAATGTACTTGTTTTACCTGCTCCATTATATCCAAGTAATCCAAAGCACTCCTGCCTTTGGACTTCCAGGGAAATATTTTTCACAGCCAGAATTACTGTATATGTAAAGTATATCTAAAAAAATTCAGAAAATACAGTTCAGTAAAGAATATTTATGGGTCAAATGCAATAAATACCTTAGACCTATGGGCCACTACCTCAGACAGTTTCCTAAGAACTATCTTGGTAGAATACACATAGATACTGAAGAACCACAGCGAGTCCTTGACACCAATGGCATGCTCTCAGGGAGCTATGAATACAGAATATTTTGGCCATTGAATGATTTACCTTTGTGAGTTCCTTAATAAGCACTGGGGAATTCATCAACTCTTTAGAATGCTCCAGAATTCTCTTTCTCTCATCTTCTACATCTTTATCTGGAGATTCTCCAGATAATTCCTTGGAAATTGTATCCTATATTTTTAAGACAAGAATCATAAACTGAATGGCTTCATGAAATCTAAACCAAGAGATACTATTAAAGATTTTAAAATAGAAGGTGTGGCGAGCCAGCCATGGGCTGTGTGTGGGAGCTGTGAGCGTTCTGAGCACACAAAGTAGACTGCTCTGTCTGGGCTGTGCATGTATGTGTCCCTTTCTCTTGCTCTGCCTTTGATCCCCACACAGTACATGAGATGAGCATGGCCTTCCAAGATGTCAGTCAACCTCCTGACCCACAAGTTATCACGACGCTAGATTCAACCACCTAAAACCTGACTCCTTGCCTCTTTTGAATGGCTTCTCTCCAATAAAATGGTTCAGAACTTGTTCCTCACTCTCTTTCTTGCCTGCCTTGTCCCCTTCTGGAAGCTGTGGCTGAGGACTGGTCCCTGAACCCAAAAAGTTACTTTCTGTGACTGAGTCTTTATTTAGTCAGCCAAAATTCACCTGGAGTGACCCTGGTTGATTTAGTCATGTGATGCTCTAAAAAGGTTTGATTAATTTCCAAGAAACTTCCTGAATCTCATCAACAACTTAACTAAATTATGAAATGAAGGTGGGGACCAGAGAGGGAAAAGTTATTCACATGGTAGAAAAAGTGTGAATTGGCCAGGTGTGGTGGTACATGTCTATAATTCCAGAAACTTGGGAGGCTGAGGCAAGAAGATGGTTGCAAGTCTGAGGTCAGCCTCAGTAAATTAGTGAAGCTCTAAGCAACTTAGTGAGACCCTATCTCAAAATAAAAAATTTTAAGGGCTGCGGATGTGGCATAGTTAAGTGTCACCTTGGTTAAATCTCCTGTATCTCCCCAAAAGTGTAAATTAACATGCTACTATGTGTACTTTAAAATCTCTGAAATATAGAATTCAAAGCATTCAGAGAAATGATTTTATCACGTGGATCCTTACAAAAGAAGCCATCTCAAGAGAGTCGGGAAAGTTAAAGTAATGCATTTGTAATCATAAATAAACTTGCCAAAATTAAAAGGGAATGGGAACTAATAAAACATCAGCAAGGCTTATTTGGACCCATGGATGATATTTTTTAGATAAATGTTACAGATATAAATGCTCTTGATTAGACCAAGTAGCCTCTGAAAAAAACAAATACCAAGATGTTAGAAAAGAAATTTGGCATAGTTTTCAAAAGTGCTTTGTCCAATCATTTCAGAACAAATTGACTATTGCTCTTTTCAATTTAAGAAGTCAGGAATACAGAGCTTATTGTTATTTTTCCCAAATCAGACACCTCATGAAAAACTGAAGCTATAGCTAAGAACAATCTAAACATGAGAGAGAAACAGTCAGTAACACTTCACATAGAAAACATTTGAGACTTTCAGAATGGCAATATTAGAGATCTGTGAATTTGTGCTCCAGTGAAACTGCTGAAAATTATTTTAACATATGATCACTTAAAGTTTTTTGAAATGATCTAAGGATGTACTGTAATGTAAATGGAGAAAAATTTATTCAAGAAAACCTATGAAGTTGGTAGGAATACTGAAGTCCCATTGTATTACTGTCCCATATCTGAACCACCAATTTTGCCTAGTGAGGAGTGTTAGGCTGTCAAACAGAATTCCTTTGCTCTATCCAGTGTAATTTACTTTATTTGAAACAGCATGGGAAAGTTACAACCTAAGGATGCTCTAATCAGTAATGGAGATTTTGGTGGAAAGCAATTAAGCAATTACAATGCTTGTAAATTGAGCTGCTATAAATATTGATGTGGAAAGCAGCCACATCAACGTTTATAGTGGCTCAATTTACAATGACTAAAAGAGATTAAAATCTAAAAGCATGGGGGCTGGGGCTCAGTGGTAGAGTACTTGCCTCACATGGGTGAGGTATTGGGTTTGATACTCAGTACCACATAAAAAAATAAATAAATTTGGGCATACTACCCAAAGTGCTATACAGAGTCAATGCAATTCCAATAAAAATGCCAATTTCATTCCTTATAGAAATTAAAAAAAAACAATCATAAATTCATTTGGAATAGTCAAAGCAATCCTTAGGCAGAAGAGTGAAGCAGGAGGCATCACAATACCAGAACTTAAATTATACTATAAAGCTATAGTAACAAAAATGGCATGCTATTGGCACCAAAATAGACATGTAGACAGATGCTACAGAATAGAAGACACAGGGATAAACCCATATAAATACAGTTATATCATACTAGACAAAGGTGCCAAAAACATGCACTGGAGAAAAGATAGCCTCTTCAACAAATGGTGCTGGGAGAAATGGAAATACATGTGCAGCAAAATGAAAATAAGCCCCTATCGCTCACCATGCAAAAAAACTCAACTCAAAGTGGATCAAGGACCTAGGAATTAGTCCAGAGACCCTGCACCTAATAGAGGAAAAAGTAGGCACAAATCTTCATCATTTTGGATTAGGCCCTGTCTTCCTTAACAAGATTCCTAAAGCACAAGAAATAAAATCAAGACTTAATAAATGGGATGGATTCAAACTAAAAAACTGCTCCTAAGCAAACTAAACAATCAATGAGGTGAACAGAAAGCCTACATTTTGGGAGCAAATTTTTGCCACACACACACTAATCTCCAGGATATATAAAGAACTCAAAAAACAACACCAAAAATACAAACAACCCAATCAATAAATGGGCTAAGGAACTGAACAGATACTTCTCAGAAGAAGATATACAACAAATATTGTAAAAACTGTTCAACATCTCTAATAATTAGAGAAATGCAAATCAAAACTACTCCAAGATTTCATCTCACTCCCTTCAGAATGGCAGTTATCAAGAATACAGACAACAATAAGTGTTGGTGAGGATGTGGGGGAAAAGACACACTCATACATTGCTGATGGGACTGCAAATTGGTGCAACTAATCTGGAAAGCATTATGGAGATTCCTTAGAAAACTTGGAATGGAACCACCATTTGACCCAGCTATCCTACTCCTCAGTCTATACCCAAAGGACTTAAAATCAGCATACTATAGTAATGCAGACACATCAATGTTTATAGCAGCTCAATTTACAATGACTAAATTGTGAAGTAACTTTGATGCCCTTCAATAGATGAATGGATAAAAATGTGGCATATATACATAATGGAATATTACTCAGCATTAAAAGAGAATAAAATTATGGCATTTTCAGTTAAATGGATGGAGCTGGAGAATATCATGCTAAGCAAAGTAAGCCAATCCCCAAAAACTAAAGGCCGAAAGTTTTCTCTGATAAGTGGAAACTGACACATAACAGGGAGGTGGGAGGCATAGGGAAAATGGAGAAACTTTGATTGGGCAAAGAGGTGGGAGAGGAGGGAGGGTGCATGGGGGTAGGAAAGATGGTGGACATATTATCCTAAGTACATGTATGAATCAAAATACATTCTGCTGTCATATATACCTAATAAAAATAAATAAATAAATAAAATTTTAAAAATTTAAAGCAAAAAAAATATTAAAGCACAGGCTAGCTATTTTACCAGAGAGAACCACAATAAAGAATCCTCTTGGGGATAGCAATGAAATTTATTCATTGACCTTAACTACTTCTCCAAAGATGATCAGTAAATTGGATCAGTACTTGGAAAATCATGCCCTAGTGCATTGTTGAAAACCATACCAAATTCAGTCAGCAATTAGTGGAGTTTAACAGCTGGGTGTGGTCATGAAAGACATAGGCAAAAAGAGCCCTAAAAACCTCACTGCCATTTCAGGGTGTTTGTGCCCATGCCGAGGCCCACACCCTCTGAGGACTATCACAGGCTTCACACTGCAAGGGAACCAGAGTTTACTAACATATTTGAGCTTGTTGCTAAACAACAAATTAGCAAATATTCAAAAAAGTACTAGCTGGAAACTTCTAAATATAATGAAAAATATTATATATTCAAGGAGCTTAAGGAAAACCAAGTGAGATAAACACACAAAGATATCCATATAAAAACATATCAGTAAAAATGCTGAAAGTCAAAGATAAGGAGAAAATCCTGGGATCAATAAGAGAAAATCATCTGAAACTAACTAGAGAGGCCCAATAGGATAACAGCATTTTATAAAAAAATGATTACATAAAAATATTACATCAAAGACTCAGGCTACAAAAGCAAAAATAAACTAACAGGACTATATTAAACAAAAAAGTTCTGCACAGCAGAGGAAACAACAAAATGGAAAGGAGCAAAGGAGAGGGACTGAAAGGGAGAGAGGAGGGAAGGGCAAAGGGAAGAATGGTGGAATGAAATTGACCAAATCTTATGTGCATGTAAGAGTATATCACAGTGAATTTCACCTTTATGTTTACCTATAAAGCACTAATTAAAAAAAAAACTATAAGCAAATAGAAGGAAGACCAGTAAAGTAAAATGAACATGGGAAGGGAGGACAGGAGAAAAAGGAAATTATTAGAGATCTTATTGAAGCAAATTATATTCCAAAGTTGCAAGAATTATGTCAAAATGAATGCTATATTATGCATAACTATAATTCACTAATTTACAAAATGAAGAAAACCACAATGAGATAACTCCTGACCCACACACAATAGCTATCATAAAAAACACAACATATAGCAAGTGTTGGAAAGGTTGTGAAGGGAACCCTTGTATGCTGTTGGTGGGAATATAAATAAGCACAGGTGTAACAAAGACTTAGAGGTAGGTTGCTTTGGCTAAAAACATTGACTCTTAATTTGAACCTGCAAATGTCCAATGGGTAATGGAAAACAGGGGAAAAAGTGGCATCTTCATTTTGCATTTGTCTCCTTTGCTCTGAGTTACCTTGAATTCCAGAAGCAAGTCCAATAGATATACACCTAGTGATGAGTTGAAACTATCCCCCAGGAAACAGCAACTTTCTTATCACCAACAAGGTCCTACCTGACCAATCCTGAGATCATGATCAGCTTGGGCAAGACTACTTGACTCTGTATTTCTGGTCCCCCTCTCTATGTAATGTGGATGCTCATACTAGTACCCCAGAAATGCTGGTCACTTTTGTCTTCCTTGGGTAGCTTTACCTATTAAAAAATTCCTTTCTCTCTTGTCACCATTACCTTTTCCATTTGGTTTATGGGGTGAGTGCTCAGACCTGATTTGTTGGGAACCCCTGAACTGGGCCTCTGATCTAAGACTCTGGTAACACAGCCATTATGGAAAATAGTATGGAAGTTTAAAATAGAACTGCCATATGACCAAGCAATCCCTCTTTTGGGTATATATATCCCAGGAAAATGAAATCATCACCTTGTAAAGATATCTACACTCTCATGCTCATGATAGCACTATTCACAATAAGCCAAAATATTGACTCAACCTAAGTATTCATCAAAAGATGTATGATTAGCAAAATGTGGTTAAATACATAATGAAATGATATTTAGCCTTTAAAAAAAGGACATCCTGTCATTTGGAACAACATGGATGAACCTAGAGGATATTATGTCAAGTGAAATAAGTCAGATATGAAAAGCCAAATATGGTATGACCTCATTTATATGTGGATTCTAAAAGCATTAAACTCACAGAAGTAAAGAGTAGAACGATGACTATCAGAGGCTTGCGGGGTAAGAAAAGCTGAGCAAAAGTTCAGGTAGATGTGAGCAATAAGCTTTGTTTCCTATCACACACTGAATGTTGACTGTTATAAATAACAATGCATTATATATTTCAAAATTACTAAAAAAGTATATCTTAAATGCTTTAGCTTGAATTAATCATTCCACTGTAAACGTATCAAAACATTACACTGTATCCCTTAAAACACAATTATTATTTTTCAATTAAAATCAACTTAAGAAAGAATATACTTAGAGGAGTAGATTTGAAATGTTCTCACCACAAGAAAAGACAAATATATGAATATATTAACAAGCTTAACTAAACCATTCCACCATGTATATCAAACCATCAAGCTATACATTTAAATATACATATAATTTTTGTCAATTAAAAAAATAAAAATAATACATCAGAATTTAAGGGCATAGCTAGAGTAGTGCTTTTAGGGAATGATTAGTTTTAAATACTTATTTAGAAATGAGGAGAAACCTAAAAGCTGTGAATTAAGGCTTCTAAGAGAGGAGAAATACGAAGGAAATTATAATCAAAACATCAATGAAAGAGAAAATAGTCAGCAGTACAGAAAATTCATAAAGATAAACTTTAGTCCTTTGAAATGATCATCAAAGAGAATTCACTTTGTTAGAGATAATTTTACCTCAGTAATGTTAATTTATATTCATGCAGATGAATTTTTCTTTTATTTGGTGACTGAGTCTGGTAACTGGTAGTCACATATCAACACATACTTTTGAGGACCTAATTTTCAATGTTCTTAGAGTTGATCTTAAGCACTCACCTTCTTATATTTCTTGTAGATAGCAAAGTAAACATGTTTATTGAGAAATGTTCTTAATTTCCACAAAGTGTTATCACAAAGGAAAATGAAGAGAATAAAAAGACAGCCTGCAATACTCATGATAATCAAATGCTTTCCAATTGTATGCTCTTCCAAAGAATAAATATTCTTCTCAGTATCTGGGAATAGTGAGAGAGAATGCTAATCGTACTGACACCATGAACAGATGAAGAGAACAACAAAGAAGAAGAAATACAGGATAAAATGAAGCACTAGGCTAAACTAAGACAAAGTATTTAGAGTGTAAGAAGCGATTATCCTTGAACTTTATAAAGAACAGTATCATAATCTATGTTGTCTACGAGAATCTGTTTCTTCTTATGTTATCATCTCTAAAATTCTCAAATGTAAAATGAAATTCAAACAATAATAAACAGTACTCCATCTAACTAGTATCAATGTTGTTAACATTTTGCCATATTAGCTCCCACACCTTCATACTGGCATATTTGTATGTTGCTTCTGTGGTTCTTAAAAAAATAATTTTGTTATATGTTTTGTTTTTAATCTTGTTTTTTGTATTCTTATACTAGTTTTTCTTGAAAACTAGCTGCCTCCTTGTTTTTTGAATTGTGAGTTTTCATGGAATTCTATGTTTTAATGATGATATATTTGGAACAAAGACTTAGATTATGAAAGCTATTTTATTGGTAAAATGAAATGTAATTTCTTTATAAATGTCTGTTTTTCTGAAGTGAGTAATTGAGAGGTGGTGGAGATGGTGGAGATAGTGGAGGTGGTAGAGGAGTAGATACTGTTTTCTGATTCCATAACAGGCTCTTTGTTCTGCAGTATCCTTTTTTTTTTTAATTTGTTTTTTATTTATTTATTTATTTTTAAAAATTTTTTATTGTTGGCTGTTCAAAACATTACATAGTTCTTGATATATCATATTTCACAATTTGATTCAAGTGGGTTATGAGCTCCCATTTTTACCCCATATACAGATTGCAGAATCACATCAGTTACACATCCATTGATTTACATATTGCCATACTAGTGTCTGTTGTATTCTGCTGCCTTTCCTATCCTCTACTATCCCCCCTCCCCTCCCCTCCCCTCCCCTCCCCTCTTCTCTCTCTGCTCCCTCTACTGACATTCGTTTGTCCCCCTTATATTATTTTTCCCCTTCCCCTCACTTCCTCTTGTATGTACTTTTGTATAACTCTGAGGGTCTCCTTCCATTTCCATGCATTTTCCCTTCTCTCTCCCTTTCCCTCCCACCTCTCATCCCTGTTTAATGTTACTCTTCTTCTCATGCTCTTCGACCCTACTCTGTTCTTAGTTACTCTCCTTATATCAAAGAAGACATTTGGCATTTGTTTTTTAGGGATTGGCTAGCTTCACTTAGCATAATCTGCTCTAATGCCATCCATTTCCCTGTAAATTCTATGATTTTGTCATTTTTTAATGCAGAGTAATACTCCATTGTGTATAAATGCCACATTTTTTTTATCCATTCATCCATTGAAGGGCGACTAGGTTGGTTCCACAGTCTAGCTATTGTGAATTGTGCTGCTATGAACATCTATGTAGCAGAGTCCCTGTAGTATGCTCTTTTTAGGTCTTTAGGGAATAGACTGAGAAGGGGAATAGCTGGGTCAAATGGTGGCTCCATTCCCAGCTTTCCAAGAAATCTCCATACTGCTTTCCAAATTGGCTGCACCAATTTGCAGTCCCACCAGCAATGTACAAGTGTACCCTTTTCCCCACATCCTCGCCAGCACTTGTTGTTGTTTGACTTCATAATGGCTTCCAATCTAACTGGAGTGAGATGGTATCTTAGGGTGGTTTTGATTTGCATTTCTCTGACTGCTAGAGATGGTGAGCATTTTTTCATGTACTTGTTGATTGATTGTATGTCCTCCTCTGAGAAGTGTCTGTTCAGGTCCCTGGCCCATTTGTTGATTGGGTTGTTTGTTCTCTTATTGTCTAATTTTTTGAGTTCTTTGTATACTCTGGATATTAGGGCTCTATCTGAAGTGTGAGGAGTAAAGATTTGTTCCCAGGATGTAGGCTCTCTATTTACCTCTCTTATTGTATCTTTTGCTGAGAAAAAACTTTTTAGTTTGAGTAAGTCCCATTTGTTGATTCTAGTTATTAACTTTTGTGCTATGGGTGTCCTATTGAGGAATTTGGAGCCCGACCCCACAGTATGTAGATCGTAGCCAACTTTTTCTTCTATCAGACGGCGTGTCTCTGATTTGATATCAAGCTCCTTGATCCATTTTGAATTAACTTTTGTGCATGGCGAGAGAAAGGGATTCAGTTTCATTTTGTTGCATATGGATTTCCAGTTTTCCCAGCACCATTTGTTGAAGATGCTATCCTTCCTCCATTGCATGCTTTTAGCCCCTTTATCAAATATAAGGTAGTTGTAGTTTTGTGGATTGGTTTCTGTGTCCTCTATTCTGTACCATTGGTCCACCCGCCTGTTTTGGTACCAGTACCATGCTGTTTTTGTTACTATTGCTCTGTAGTATAGTTTGAAGTCTGGTATCGCTATACCACCTGATTCACACTTCCTGCTTAGCATTGTTTTTGCTATTCTGGGTCTTTTGTTTTTCCATATGAATTTTATGATTGCTTTCTCTATTTCTACAAGAAATGCCGTTGGGATTTTGATTGGCATTGCATTAAACCTATAGAGAACTTTTGGTAATATCGCCATTTTGATGATGTTAGTTCTGCCTATCCATGAACAGGGTATATTTTTCCATCTTCTAAGATCTTCTTCTATTTCTCTCTTTAGGGTTCTGTAGTTTTCATTGTATAAGTCTTTCACCTCTTTTGTTAGGTTGATTCCCAAGTATTTTATTTTTTTTGAAGATATTGTGAATGGAGTGGTTGTCCTCATTTCCATTTCAGAGGCTTTGTCGCTGATATACACGAATGCCTTTGATTTATGCGTGTTGATTTTATATCCTGCCACTTTGCTGAATTCATTTATTAGCTCTAATAGTTTCTTTGTAGACCCTTTTGGGTCTGCTAGGTATAGAATCATGTCATCTGCAAATAGTGATAATTTAAGTTCTTCTTTTCCTATTTTGATGCCTTTAATTTCTTTCGTCTGTCTAATTGCTCTGGCCAGTGTTTCGAGAACTATGTTGAACAGAAGTGGTGAGAGAGGGCATCCCTGTCTTGTTCCAGATTTTAGAGGGAATGCCTTCAATTTTTCTCCATTCAGAATGATGCTAGCCTGAGGCTTAGCATAGATTGCTTTTACAATATTGAGGTATGTTCCTGTTATCCCTAGTTTTTCTAGAGTTTTGAACATAAAGGGATGCTGTACTTTGTCGAATGCTTTTTCCGCATCTATCGAGATGATCATATGATTCTTATTTTTAAGTCTATTGATGTGGTGAATAACATTTATTGATTTCCGTATATTGAACCAGCCTTGCATCCCAGGGATGAATCCTACTTGATCATGGTGCACAATTTTTTTGATAAGTTTTTGTATCCGAGTGGCCAGAATTTTATTGAGGATTGTTGCATCTGGGTTCATTAGAGATATTGGTCTGTAGTTTTCTTTCTTTGAAGTGTCTTTGTCTGGTTTAGGTATCAGGGTGATGTTGGCCTCGTAGAATGAATTTGGAAGTTCTCCCTCTTTTTCTATTTCCCGAAGTAGCTTGAAAAGTATTGGTATTAGTTCCTCTTTAAAGGTTTTGTAAAACTCTGCTGTATACCCATCCGGTCCTGGGCTTTTCTTAGTTGGTAGTCTTTTGATGGTTTCTTCTATTTCCTCAATTGATATTGGTCTGTTTAGGTTGTCTATATCCTCCTGACTCAATCTGGGCAGATCATATGACTTAAGAAATTTATCTATGCCTTCACTATCTTCTAATTTATTGGAGTATAAGGATTCAAAATAATTTTTGATTATCTTCTGTATTTCTGAAGTGTCTGTTGTGATATTGCCTCTTTCATCCTGTATGTTAGTAATTTGAGTTCTCTCTCTTCTTCTCTTCGCTAGCATGGCTAAGGGTCTGTCGATTTTGTTTATTTTTTCAAAGAACCAACTTTTAGTTTTGTCAATTTTTTCAATTGTTTCTTTTGTTTCGATTTCATTAATTTCAGCTCTGATTTTAATTATTTCTTGCCTTCTACTTCTTTTGCTGTTGTTTTGCTCTTCTTTTTCTAGGATTTTGAGATGAAGTATGAGATCATTTATTTGTTGGTTTTTTCTTTTTTTAAGGAATGAACTCCAAGCAATGAATTTTCCTCTTAGAACTGCTTTCAATGTGTCCCATAGATTCCGATATGTTGTGTCTGTGTTTTCATTAATCTCTAAGAATTTTTTAATTTCTTCCTTGATGTCTTCTATAACCCATTGATCGTTCAGTAACCTATTGTTCATTCTCCAAGTGATGTATTCTTTTCCCTTCCTTCTTTTATCATTGATTTTCAGTTCCATTCCATTATGATCAGATAGGATGCATGGTATTATCTCTACTCCTTTATATTGTCTAAGAGTTTCCCTGTGACATAATATATGATCTATTTTTGAGAAGGATCCATGTGCTGCTGAGAAAAAAGTGTAACTGCTTGATGTTGGGTGGTATATTCTATATATGTCAATTAAGTCTAGGTTATTAATTGTGTTATTGAGTTCTATAGTTTCCTTATTCAACTTTTGTTTGGAAGATCTGTCCAGTGGTGATAGAGGTGTGTTGAAGTCTCCCATGATTAATGTATGGTGGTCTATTAGACTCTTGAACTTGAGAAGAGTTTGTTTGATGAACATAGCTGCACCATTGTTTGGGGCATATATATTTATGATTGTTATGTCTTGTTGGTGTATGGTTCCCTTGAGCAGTATGTAGTGTCCCTCTTTATCCCTTTTGATTAACTTTGGCTTGAAATCTATTTTATTTGATATGAGTATGGATACTCCTGCTTGTTTCCGAAGTCCATATGAGTGATATGATTTTTCCCAACCTTTCACCTTCAGCCTATGTATGTCTTTTCCTATCAAATGCGTCTCCTGTAGGCAGCAAATTGTTGGGTCTTGTTTTGTGATCCATTCTACTAGCCTGTGTCTCTTGATTGGTGAGTTTAAGCCATTAACATTTAGGGTTATTATTGAGATATGGGTTGTTCTTCCAGCCATATTTGT